CTCATCCTAAAATATTGTCCAATGATGTGCACTTGTGTTGTTTATTGCCACATGGACACGCTAGAAACTTTGTATTTGCAATTTTCTCTGCCTTTTGCTTTTTTACATTTGCGAATTGCCAATGACATATGTTTCTTGTCTGGCTACGAGGGTTTGTTTGTGAGTACTGGTACAAGACATCCATATTTGATATATCTTCAAATAGGTATTGCACTTTGAGATCCATAGTAATTTAGAATGCTAACTTGAAGGACATAAGAAACTGTAAGAGCTCATTTTAACTCTCATCCTTCTTTGCAAGCAACATTCTGCATCATCAGACTCAATACAAATTCGCTTAACATTGAATTCATTTGTCTTGTCTGCAGCACTGTTATAGACATGGGCCAGTATATAATAGATTGTCTATAAGTTGCAACTATCAGTTTTGCAAACTTAAATAGCAACTCTGCCATAAAATGAGTGAAGTGAAGTGAAATTCATCCCATTTTAGAGATACTGTAACATTACTTCACAAACCAAAGACAGCTTACCATTTTGTAATCCATTCCAAAATCATCTTGTTGGCTGCTCTTCCAAAATATCACCAAGCCCAATATCCTTCATGAACTTCCTAATTACACCACCCTTAGGTGTAATAAGGAAATCACCAAGCCTTCGACAACATTGCAATTGATATGAAGGAATTCAACTAATATGGCTTGATCACTGGTTATGATTATCACACTACTATACCCCATTACTTTTAAATATATTCCAAGTGTTCTACTATACATTGCATAGATTAATGAGCAGTTTGCCCAATGGACAAAGATAGAGAATACCCGCCCCATTTGCAACTCAACTTTAAATGTCTAATTTTTAGACTTGTATACTCATGAAGTTCCTGAAACATCTGAAAAATATCAAATAATACAATTTATTGTATGATCTGTAAAATGAAGCCCTCTGATTGGTCAGTTCTTGTGCTGTACCAACCTGTATTGCTTCTGAGATTGTCTCCGTTGATCATCTCTGTCGCAATACAGAAAATATTGGTACGGAGGGGACAATCCCAGTAGCAATACAGACGATCACACGATAAAAACGTTATTGAATGATTTGAAGTACAATACAGGATATATTCTGTCTCGATATTCTGTATTGGCACTCGACTTCGTCTCGTTCCAATACGGAATTCTCGAGCAGAATATATCCTGAATTGCACTTCAAATCATTCAATAACTTATAGTATTGATCTAGAATAGCGACAACTTTGTTAAAGTCTAGATCTATACTTTGAAATTGTTTTGATTTTATATATCTGGATATTTTTTTCAAAATAAATGGGATAGGGGAGATATGTAAACTCTAATATAATGACAGACTGTCCAATATACATTTTAAATACCTTGACTCAAAGTAGGCAGGCAAAAGAACAGATTTGATCAAGAATCCATCAACCGTTCAGCATAAAACTCAAGGAACTATATGTTATTACTAAAAATGGAAATGATGAAAAAACGATGAAAATGCCAAATTTTGTTCTTAAATGTCTAATTTCTAGACACTAGTATACTGAAACATTAATTATTATACCATTCAATAACACATAAAGAATGGCTACATCTTTGTTAAAGTTTATACTGGTAATGTGAAGTGTTTTTTTTTATATTTTCCGGTCATCCTCATAATAAATGGGGTAGGGGAGATCTGAAAGCTCTAATATGAACATTGTTTGTCCACTATACATTTTCAATACCTTAAATGGAAGAAGACATGTACAAGAACAGATTTAATCAAAAATGCATCAACCAGTCAGCATAAAACTCAAGATATAAAGATTTATATGTTATTGCTGAAAGCAGCATTTATCAAAAATGCCAAGTTTTGTCCTTAAATGTCTCATTTCTAGCCACTTGAATACCAATAAAGGTTCTTAAAAATCTTAAAAACATTAAATAACACATACTATTGGTATAGAACAGCTACAACTTTATTTAAGTCTATAATTTCATGTTATTTTTATTTTTTCATATTTCTCGTTTTTTCCATAAAAGATGGGGTAGGGGAGATCTGAAAGCTCTAATATGAACATTGTTTTTCCACTATACATTTTCTATACCTTAAATGGAAGTAGACATGCACAAGAATAGATTTGATTGAAAATGCAACAATCAGACAGCATAAAACTCAAGATATGAGGAACTATATATTACTGCTGAAAGCGAAAATGATGAAAAAATGCCAAGTTTTGTCCTTAAATGTCTCATTCTAGCCACTTGTATACCGATGAAGGTTCTGAAATATTCTAAAAACATTAAATGACACATACTATTGATATAGAATAGCTACAACTTTGTTAAAGTTTATAATTTCAAGTAATTTTATATTTTCATATTTTTCTTTAATTTTTCATGATAAATGGGGTAGGGGAGATCTGAAAGCTTTGATATAACAATTGGTGGTCCACTATACATTTTCTATACCTTAAATGGAAGAAGACATGTTCAAACACAGATTTAATCAAAAATGCAACAACCAGTCAGCATTTAACTCAAGATATAAGGAACTATATGTTATTGCTGAAAGCGAAAATGATTGAAAAATGCCAAATTCTGTCCTAAATGTCACATTTCTAGACACAAGTATACTTATGAAGGTCCTGAAACATCTGAGAAACCTTACAAAACACATAATATTGATATAGAATAGCTACAACTTTGTTTGAGTTGGACATTTTGACTTTTTGTAGTTTCCATGTTTAGCCAGTTTTTTCTAAAAAATTCAAGGTATGTCTTCTTTGAACCAGTATTTAATTAGGTTCGCAAGAGTTATATGCTTCGCAGGCGAAATCCCTTATGCAGGACACCCTAATAGAATAACAAATACACAGAAATTCCATTCAGCTCACAAAGTCATTTTTCCACCCCGAGTATAATGTATTTTTATGAAAACTGAACCAGCATAACCGTTTTCATTCAATATTTGATTATCATGTCTCTTATCAAAGAGGAAGTCGGGCATCATTGAATCTCTATTATGAAATGACAATGAAATTGAGCCAAGAAAGGCTGACTTTCAGTCTTGGCTAACATGATAGCCTTTTTAGCCTTGATTGAATGTGAAAATATGGCATGTCTATATCAAGACAACGCACAGTTTTACCAGTCTTAAAGTCTTGAAAACCGATGTAGCGTTTCAACTTGGTCTACACAGTACTCACAGGCAATGTATGATTGGAGTAGAATTTACAAGAGAAATTCTGTGAGTAGAAGTATAGAGCCGATGCTATTATCATATTGGAAATTGATTCTAATTGATTGTTTCAAACGTATAGTGAGTGGATAGAAGAGTATACTCCGACCAAAACTGCGGAATAGTGACGGAAATAGGAATTGAATATATTGATAGAAATTGATCTGGTAGAAGGATAACAACACGGTGCGGAAAGAATTAACCACAATTCAGATTTCTATCAACATTATTCTCTCTTACGGCTTGAATCGAACGGTGAAAGCATTGGCAAACTACAATCACTTGATCTCTCTCTCTGTTGGAAAAGCAAATTCCATAGAACAATATTGGAAAATGAAACGTGAAATTAAAGTTACTGATCACACTGAATCGGCTGCTGGACGATACAAAAAGAGCATTATTATCACGGTGCCCATGTCAAGCTGCGCGCCTACTTAGGCGCGTAGTTTGTTTCGATCACAAACTGCGTGCCTAAGAACATTGGATCATTTAAGTTGGAGTCTGTATTTTGAAACGTTATTTAAACACATTTATCCTGCATTGTTTTCTTGTTCAATGCGTTCATTCTGTGGCGAATATACGAATCTTGCAAATACTAGCAAAAACTGTGTGCAAATGAATCTTAGTTTTAAAACATAAGCAGATTAATGGCATTTTCGTCACTGATTTAATGGGAATTTATACGTAAATCGATCTAGCACTTTAAACATAAATGACAAATACTTTAGACTCGTTTTATATTTAATTCCCTACACATTTATCATGTTTAATTCAAAATATTTCGAGGTAAAACAGATAATCAGGAGATTAAAAAGAAATAAACCACAAACTGCGCGCCTATTTTAGCCAGAAATTACAATCTGTGCGCATACACTATTAAAACTACATATTATCATTGGAATTTCTACAGAGGTACGTGTAGGTGTTTTCGATGTAGCTTTGGAAATTTTGCTTTATCGTCAGATTTTATGCGATTTTCATATTGTAAGTCAAAATGTATAATAGAAGTGACAATTAAGTTGGGAACGAAAAAAACGTTTATTTTCAGATCACCATCTTGGTGGATGGACTCTCATAGTGTTTCAATTATGGGGTTCTACTATTAGACACATATGTGCCTTGTATGGCGCTTATGTTTTCTAATAATACAAAACAAGCCATGGATAGGCAAGCAGTTTTGAAATATTAGGCACGCAGTTTGGGAAATACATGTGAATATAGGCGCGCAGTTTGACAAGAAAAATGTCTAAATCACGTTTATGGCGTATTATCGTTTTGAACACAAACTTTGCTGTTTTAATCAGATGGAGTGATCCTATATATTCTAGCATACACAGACACAATGGCTGAATAAACGGCAAATGACGATAAAAAGACATAGATATAACTTTACACTGTAAATTTTGAACACAGAAGTTACTTAAGACCCTTATATTGAGATAACTAGGTTTACATCGGGAAAAACATTGAGTACTATGAGTAAATTAAGTTCATCTTCACAGAATGGTACTATCTTTAGAACGAGACTAACCTTGTATTTTTCGTATTTTGGCTCTTTTTGGGAGTCGTGTCCTCCCCGTCTCACATTTTGAAATATGCGCGCAGTTTGTCAGAGTTTCAAACTGCGTGCCTAGTAGGCACGCTGCTTGACATGGGCATCGTGATTATATAGTTTAGAAAAAACTGCCAGGCATTATTATGAATAATAGCGATCATTTATCGTGTAACAGCAGGATTTGCACAAGGATATGAAAGTTTAATGGAATAAAATAGTTTTTTGTCAGCGTAATATTGCTGGAAATAAATGTAACCAAGTAGAGGGAAATAGACTTAACAGCGTATGATTCTATGCATTATTGTCAACGAACTGAGTCTTGCTGGGCGATTTATTCATACCCGAGTAAAACATGCTCGTCTACATTATGGAATAAAGGATGTAAAAGTTTAAGGTGTATTTCTAAAGGTTAAGATGTTATTTTTCCAGTTGATGATTCAACACACCATTTTTTCTGTATAACTTCCAGAATGCATCGGATTGTATGATTAACGTTAGCTAATACGTGGAACTTAAAAATATCATTTGGATTAACCTGATATAATCAATGACGGAAATTGTATTTCACGTGCTCTGCCCACCTACAGTAAGACGACGTATAATTCATAAGCGACGAGGGATATAAAGTACAGACACTGATGGTGTTCATGAGTATATTGCGAAGTTAGCTATCCCAAACGCTTTAAATAAAATACATTTGTACATAGAATTCCATTATTTACTAATGAGGAGCTTGCAGATACAGAGTTAAACTTATCTAAGTCGATTGAAAAGCAAATCGAATCCAGAGAGGACTCCATTATCTAGTCTCAAAATAGCATTAATATGTATGGGTGGACTTTTAGATGTGTAAAATAAATGGACTACTGATGACTGTACTTCATGCGTGTCTCAAGGAAAGTTCTATGAGAGATAACGAGGCCAAATTAAAAATTGATTACGGAACAAAAGAAGATTGAATACCCATCAAGGGATCTTTTTCGGATCACAGATTGACAAAGTTAACACGTACTCCTTGTCTGATCTTGATTTACTGACTTCTAAATGAGATACATATGGTCGATAAGAAGACATTTAGTTCCCGTTGTGACAGGACTTCGCCACAACAAATGATTACTATTCTAACGTATGATGGGGATCAGGGTAAATGTGCTAAAGCTTATGTGATGACATCTGACGACGAGGACTTTATCGCCCTGAGACCTTTGGCCTACCAGCGTGGTGCAAAGCCGGAATTCGTTCATAAATTATCTGATGATTCTGATTCCGACGATAAATCCCTCAAAGACATTGCAGTCGAGTTTGCGAATGAGACAACTCTTCATGGTGTACCAAAAATCATAAAAGACCGCTCGTGTGGAACTCGACTCTTCTGGTCTTGCGTGTGTTTAAGTGCTTTGTGTATGTTTTTTATACAAGCATCTACACTTATGGGGAAATATCTAGACTACAAGAAAAAAGTTGACATTGAAGTGTTAGATGACCCTGCTCCTTTCCCATCAATATCTCTGTGCAACATACGTCATATAGACGCCATCCTTTTCGAGGAGATACAGGGTTACAGTCAACAACATTATATGAAAGTTTTAGAAGTCATGGAAGCCAGTAAGAATCCAAACTACGTCAGGAACAAAACTGTTGAAGAAGACAAACCATTCTATTGGACTTCTTTAGAAACATCCATTAATGTACAGGGGTATCTCAGTACAAAGCCAGAACTAGTTAAAGAACTCGGCTTTGATAATATCAATGATATAGCTGAAATTATGTTTACACGTGAAACTCCTGCCGCAAATATTGATAAAGATAAGGTGACTCAGTTCGGAATTGAAGCGAGAGAGTTCATAATTACCTGTGTCTATTCTGGAGTTAGGTGTAACTACAAAGATTTCAAACGATTTTTTCATCCATTTTTCTACAATTGTTTCACATTCAACACATCATCGGTTTTGACTGATAACAGTACCACAGGAAGGAGTTTCTCACTCATAGCGTTCCTTGGTAAAATGTTTAGTAAAGACTCGACAAAATTAGACAGAGGGGATACATTCGGGGACGCAGTGTATAATAGCGATGGGTTGCGTATCGTGATTCACTCGTCCAATAGTGAACCCGATCCCATCAAAGACGGCTTTAATATACCATCAGGGTTTTCAGCGTCCATTGGAGTAAAAGCGACGCGATATGAGCGTATAGATTACCCATATGGTAACTGCTCGGAACAGGGCTCACTCAGTATGGATAATGGAATATATGACTATACCCTGATATCCTGCCAAAACCTTTGTCTTCAAAGAGAAATAATTGAACACTGTCGATGCACAGATATAGCTCTACCAATACCTAACAACGTCAATGTATCATTTTGTCAGGATATTGAAAACCCTCCAATATTTGATTGTCTAGAAGACAAGGCCAATGAATGGAAATGTAACGACGCTATACGAAGATCATGGAATAAATTCAAGTGTATGCGATCCGTGAAAGGGAGAGTGTCTATTACTCAACTTGCCAAGCAGAAATGTCGTTGCTATCCGCCTTGTCATGAGATTACGTATGGTGTCTTCCATAGTCTTACATCTTGGCCTTCAATGGACCAAACCATCCCAACAATGGAGAAGGTCATTACCGGAGACTTCATGCAGCGATTCACAACTGACCACGAGAGGAACCTCGTGTGGGAGAACTATTTCCCAAACTATAGCAATGATACAGATTTAGTGAAACTCTATCTGGAGACGAATAACCTCACTGTACAACACGATCTTACTCACGTATGTGCGAGCTTTTTGAAAGATTTCTCCCACGTGTATGTGTACATTGCTGACGATAATGTAGTGAAGATTACAGAATCGGAGTTCTACAGTGGGGTCCAACTTGTATCTGACATCGGAGGACAGTTAGGCCTGTGGGTCGGGATATCTGTGGTGACGTTGGCGGAGTTACTACAGCTTTGTGCAACACTATGTGGTTTTTTATGCAAAAATAAACACAGTAAGAAGTTTAAAAACGAGTTCAGGCGAAAATCCATACGACGAAGGCAGAGATGTGCATCCGTGCGGACGAAGAGATGCCAAAATCACAAACCTAGATCACGGTCTCTCTCAAATACACGAGAAAATGGTACAGAAATAAAAAATCTCCTGCTCAAAAATAAAAGTTATTATGTTAACGTTTAGCCGACACACTTGTGACTTCAGCATACTTTGAATGACACCTCAACACGTACAACTAAAACTACGAGGAGATAGTGGAGATTTTCATGATTATAGAATTCTTTCTCTTTATTCTCTATTTTATGAAAGCCATATCTGGATTTTGTCTTATAAAACAGTATAGATGTTGTAATAAATTGATTTAACTTTTATTCTAACCTTCTATAGTCAGACTTTTACCCTTTTACAACTAACACATCTTTTAGATCTAAGGTCATCTACGGTAAGAGTTACCCCTGTCTGTGAATGTGCATCTTTCAGGTTTTTACATTATATTAAACAATTTCTTTAAATATGATTGCAGTGGAAACATATAAAATATGCTTGCTTTTTAAAAAGAGTGCTTCCAATGTTTTATTCTCTCAATTTCTTCTACTTCTTTTAAAGTACAATCCGAGCAATTCATTAAACGCTGTAATAGTTGCAATAAATAATTGTATCCTCCGATCTCGATAATGGGAGTTACTCCCTTGTCATCTGTATTTGGAAGTTTAGAAGATTAGTTGGCCAAATCCATATTAGTGAATCAAGATGTATTAACAGTAAATAATACTGATCGCATCTATAGACGTTCAGCAAACACCGCTGTTAAACTACTTCTAATATAATGGGCTAATGGCAAATAAATGAAAAACAACCTCATAATTAGAATCAATGTGTTGATAGAAAATCGCAACATGACCCATGTATTATTCAAAGGCTTTGTATGATCAATCCTAAATAACGAACTTACATTAGAATTCTTATCTCGTTTTATCCCTGAATAGTTTGCAACAAACAGCTTGCTTAAATAAATGTTCAGTTGGATACACATGCACTAGGCCCAGTGAAACTACATCTTCAGTCTACCGATGAACATATTATACATCTTCAGGAGTCAGGACTCAATTGATGTAATATATCTGTACATTTATTAATGATTTAGTCAGAATAACGGATGTTTAGAGGGTACTAGAAGCAATATATTTGAAGAGCAAATGTTATATTATATATTATTATATGAGCTTATTTTATTATCATTTGACCCTTGACTATTATGCACTAATCTTAATGGAATGATTAATGTAAATTCCTTGGCCGATGAGCTAATATGCTTGTATTAAGTGACGTGGGTGTTTGTTGAAATGATCAGCTAATTTTATTTTACTGGAGGTCTTGAATCTCGTATTTGCTCAAATGATTAGCTAATTGGTTTGAAAGACTTGTATATCTGCTTAGATGATAAGCTTATTTCCTTGGTGGACTTGCACATCTGCTTCATTAATAAGCTAATCTCCTTGGTGGACTTACACTTCACCTCCATAAGTTTGGCAACCTTAGCTCCCCCATTGAACTACGTGTTAAAGCCTCTTTACCTTTGAATTCTGATTTACTTAACCTGCGATGAATTTCCTCAATTACAATAGGTCGAAAATTGATGATAAATTTGATGAATTTTTGAATATCGTCATTCCCATGTAAACCAATGGGAAATGGTGGGTTCGGGGCAAATCAGAAATCAGGATATCTATTCAGTAAAAGATTCAGCAAAAACATTTTTTAGATAGAAAATTGAATTGTCTAAATTTTTTCATACTAAGTGTTTAGTTTACTTGATGAATACAAAAGTTGCAGAGTTCCAAAGTCATTTTTGAAAATCATTTTTCGCCTCTTGTGTTTATTTCAATGGGAGAGGTGTTTTGAAAAACAATTTTGACTTTAAAGACCTGTAACCTTTTTGAACCTGAAGAAACGTATCAATTTTTCGTAAAATAAAGGTAGCAAATTCAATTGGCTACTTAACTTGTATTTATTGCAAAGACTCGGATGGGTGGATATTCTATCATATGACTTGCGACAAACCTACCATTTCCCATTGGTTAACATGGGAATGTGGATTTTCAAAAAGTCATCAACTTTATCATCAATTTTCGAACTATTGTAATTGAGGAACAACATTGAAAAAATTTGGAGGTATTGGAAATAAAGTCAATTTACGTATTTTCATCGCATGTTAAGTAAATAAAAATTCAAAGGTAAAGAGGCTTTAACACGTAGATCAATGGGGGAGCTAAGGTTGCCAAACGTATGGAGGGGAGTGTATATATTTGCTAGGATGATAGGCGTATTTCCTCGGAGGACGTGCATATCTGCTTAGATGATAAGTTAATTTCATTAGAGGACTTGCACATATGCTTGGATGATAAGCTTGGATGATTTGCTCGGATGTCTCGTATATGCTTGAATTATACGCTAATTTCCTTGGTAGACTTGCACATATGCTTGGATGTTAAGCTAATTTCCTTGGTGGACGTGCATATCTGCTGGGATGATAAGCTTATTTGCTCGGAGGTCTCGTATATGCTTTAATGGTTAGATAATTTGCACGAAGGATGGGTTGATTAGTTAATTTCTATGGAGAACTTACATATCTTGTTAAATGATCAGCTCTTCGGTTTATAGAACTTATCAAGTGTATCTGTTTGAATTTACTGAACACAGCTGGCTCAAAAGCCAGCTGACAAACCGTTAAAATATACCGTCTCGTGAAGTGGTTTTCTCCAACTTCCAGCAGGCGCGCTGGAATAAGAAACGGTATTTAAGAAGATAATTGATATATAACTTGCCATTTTCATGACGCGTGGTGACAATAAGTCCTACTTGTTGTGTAATTGCAGTTAAAGTGGAGAAATTCCAGAACTGGCGCGCACCATTTTTTAACCTTTTTGCGCATGCGTGCACATGCGCATTGTACTTTTTATGCGCATGGGTATTACCGCTGAAAGATCACGTGACTATCCATATTTAGCCAACGCGAGTTATTTTGTAGCAAATTTTTACTTTCGAAAGTCACGAGATCTCGCGAGACCTAAAATGGCTGGAATCTAAATTCAAAAGTTCTGTTGTGTAATAGAACATTGATTTACTATAGCAACAGACTGTTGAAGGAACAAAATAAGGTAACAATTGCAACAAATAAATTATGTATTGATTCAAATATATTGCGTATTATAAACGCTACTCAGCACAGCGTTTAGTCAAAATGGGCCCGATTTATTCTCTTTAAGTACACATACATCCAACTTCCCAGAGCTGACATCTGTCACCTCGGTAGAGTAAGTTTGGATGATAAGCTTCGAGGACATTACCTGCTCAAAGGTTCCGTGATTGTCTGTTTGAATGATTTGCTAATTTGCTTGGAGAATAAGCATTTATTCTTTGAAAGTTAGCTAATTTGTTTCGAAGACGTGCATATCTGTTTGAAAAGCTAAAACGTGGATGAAACGTGGATGACTTGTATACATATATGTATATATGGCTTGGATGATTAGCGAATTGATAATTGTGCTCGGATCATGGATGATCGGTCAATTTGCCTGGAGCACGCGCTTACCTGCGTGGATGATATTGAACAGAACATCGTTATGCATCTTGCAAAATAGATTAGAAAAATATAAGAATACATTGAAATTGGACATCTCTCCGTGCTATTGCAAATAATGACCTGCTCTTGTAACCAGATGGGGGCCACTACCGCTTCTTAGAAAGATTGGACAACATTGAAATATGTATGTATGCAAGTCATTTTTGCTGGGGGTGAGAATTATAAACCAGCTGATGGTTTATAATTAAGAAATATAGACCGAAGAGCAGGGGTAATATTGTCGAATACACCCCGCAGGGCTAGGCACAAACGTTTTCTGTACCCCAAACGACCGAAGGGAGTGAGGGGTTCAAAGCTTTTGTAAGGGGTGTATTCGACAACATTACACCTGCTCCGAGGTCTATATTACGGTTCGAACATGAAAACTCACCAAAATGTTTCGAATATTCATTATGGTCCGCCATTATGACTACGGCCCGCCGATATGACGTCACATAATACACGTATTACGCGAATATACCCCAGGTGAAATGTTGACATTGTTTACTGTTTATAGAAGGCGTGAATACAGTCATGTTCGAATTCTCAATAATCGCTTCCCGGTGTAATTTTCAAGGAAACCTCGATTTAGCAGTATTATGAGTTTTACTACGGCGCCCGGCCGATTGAATATTTTGTTCAAAATTGTATTCAAAATACTCATCGGCCGAGCGCCTGTGCTGAAAATCGGAGCAAATGTGACCACGGCATTAGACTGTTTAATTAGGTGCCTCGGACTCCTTTACGTGATATAATTCAATAGAGGAGTTTCTAAATGATTTTGAAATCTCGCTAATTCTCGTTTTTTCATGATATTTTAAGAGATTTGCACATTTTAACTCTTATGACTTACTTTTCTTTCTTTTTAATAGCATATTTGAATTCAGTGATATGTTTCCTACAGTAATAGCTTTCATTTACACATTTATGTCATTTAAATCATTCTCCATGACATTAAAAAAATCTCCATTGATGTTATGCTAATATTCTTTAAAACCATGGTTTAATCGTATGACAACCAACATTTTCATGTTTAATCACAATATGTTCATTGGCAGGATCATTTAATAGTATGCCATTCAAGTTTCAGACAGATTTAACTAGCACTCTTTGATAAATCATGAAATTAAATGACTATTGCAAGCTTTTACTAACGGTGACATCTATTATGTCAGCTTTATTCAGCTTTATTTAGTTATTTAGAAACTATACTAATAATTGCTATTCAATTTTAACCCTCGACAGTGTTCATTTAAAGATATTTGTGTGAAATTACTTTCAAATTGATCGAGGAAATTAAGTAAACATAGAAAACATTTTTCTTCGAGATTACTACTTGTTTTCCGTGTAGATTACGTCCGCGAGTGAGGTCACCTTGTATGTGTTCAAATTAAGATTCCCAGGAATCGGAGGTAGGATCACCTTTGAAATGTGTTTCACATCATTTTTCGGTATTTTCTATGAAATTCCAATGTATTAGGAATATCAGCAAGCTTATTCGAGCGATAAGAACAAGTGGAAAAACGTTTATGTTTGAATTTTTCTTAGTAGAACAAAGGACGTAACTGTAAGCAACATTAGATGAAGTTACGAACGGCCCATAACGTAATCAACTCTCTACACATTTGCTTTGGGTTGTAATGCCCGACTCTATATGTTTGCGAAATTTTGTGTCAATAATAATATCATACGTATGTGAGGTTATGGGTTAAGAGAGGAGTTCTAGATACTGATTTCCCCAGGCTCCACAATCGACTATGGGTCGGAGGTGCTGTAAATAGTGGATATCTGATATGGCTTCATATTCAATTTGTCAATCGAGAACGGTAAATATCAAATTCTTAAAGTGTAATAGTGGATATATGATATGGTTTCATATTTAATTTGTCAATCGAGAACGGTAAATATCAAATTCTTAAAGTGTAATAGTGGATATCTGATATGGTTTCAAATTTAATTTGTCAATCGAGAACGGTAAATATCAAATTCTTAAAGTAGTGGATATCTGATATGGTTTCATATTTAATTTGTCAATCGAGAACGGCAAATATCAAATTCTTAAAGTGTTATAGTGGATATCTGATATGGTTTCATATTTAATTTGTCAATCGAGAACGGTAAATATCAAATTCTTAAAGTGTAATCGTGGAGATCTGATATGGCTTCATATTCAATTTGTCAATCGAGAACGGTAAATATCAAATTCTTAAAGTGTAATAGTGGATATCTGATATGGTTTCATATTTAATTTGTCAATCGAGAACGGTAAATATCAAATTCTTAAAGTAGTGGATATCTGATATGGTTTCATATTTAATTTGTCAATCGAGAACGGCAAATATCAAATTCTTAAAGTGTAATAGTGGATATCCGATATGGTTTCATATTTAATTTGTCAATCGAGAACGGTAAATATCAAATTCTTAAAGTAGTGGATATCTGATATGGTTTCATATTTAATTTGTCAATCGAGAACGGCAAATATCAAATTCTTAAAGTGTAATAGGGGATA